TTCGGGCTTAACGGTCAAACTGGGTTGATTGTCAGTAATCGCTGGAGCAACAAGCGCAGATAGGCATGCGAAATAATTGGAGGTATGCCACTTTAACTTGATGCAAACGGAAACTCCTTCAGAGTCAAGTCGAGCATCTCCAAGACCAGCAACTGATACGGTAGACTTGGTTTTAGGCAATTCCAACTGGTGAGCGAGTCGGGAGGTCACAACGTGGACTTGTGATCCCGAGTCGAGCAGCGCACGGCATGGGATCCAAGCACCTGATCGACTTAGAACGCATATGACTACAGTTGGAAGAAGGACAGCATCAGAATCCACATTCTGAGCCAGCAAAGAGGTTGCACGGCTAGAAGCGATTGCGTTTGGCATACTTAGTTCCGCAACGGGAGCTCGCAGAACCTCAGTCGAAGGCTGAGAGCCAAGATGCAACAGGCTATGATGCTTAGACCCGCAAATTCGGCAGCAGCCTGACCTACAACTGCGCATTTGATGCCCCTTCTTCAAGCAATTGAGACACAGCGCCAATCTCTTTGCCTTTTAAATGCGCTCTTGTACCGACGGGTTGGCAAATTGGTTACAGCTATAAATCGAATGGTTACTGTTGTCACACACAACACATGCATGCCTCGAAGTGGTGGTAGAAATTAAGATGCTTCTGCTGCGGGTGTTTCCTGATGGTGAACCATTTGAGTACAAGGCTGCAGTGTGTTCTACATTTTCCAATTTTTGACAACGCTTGGACAAAAATATAGTGAACTGATCGATCGAAGGGATTTCATCAATCGAGGCGAATTCTTCCCAATTGGCCTGAGTTTTGCCAAACCCATTGATTAGAGAGCACGTAAATTAACATTTTATTTATCGGACTTAGAGATAGCTTCGTGGCACACTGCATGTCCACTTTAGAGAGACTCAAAATTGCATTTATGAGGGATTGTAAAAAAAGCCGCTTGTTATTGAACCGGTTGTTCAATAAATCCCAGGCCACAGCATAATTCATTTCGCAAATCTCCAATGAGCGAACTGTGTCCAAGGCAGAACCTTTTAAGTAAGTCTTGAGATGCTGCAGCTTCTCAATGTTAGAAAGCTCAACGTCGCTGTTGATAATGGTCTTAAACATGGACTGAAAGTCCGCAAATTCGGTATAGAACCCAGAAAATTCAGGCAGTCTCAATTCGGGCAAATGAGATCTTCTAGCCGCTGACATGCAATGGAAATCCATGGAGGGCTCTGGCCTAACTGTGGAGCCATGAATTGTCGGACCCTTTCGCTTACCCAATTCTTTATTCAACCTAACTTCTGTTGATATGGTTAGCTCCTCAAACTCGTCTCGAACCATGCTGCCGATTTCGCTAAGATCCAGCTCCTCAAGCCTGTCTTGGACCTGGATAAATGTCGCCTTGCTCTCGTCCAGGCGTTGAACACGAAGTTTCAGTTGTTCCTCGCTCATTTCCTTGAGCTTCTCGACGGTCAGGGCCTTCTCAAGCGCTTTAGCTTTAGAAAGCATTGAGCCAGCCCTCAATTTATAATACGTTGCTCCCGCAACTGGAGCAGAAAGAGTTATGTCCGTTGACATGTTGATTTATTTTGATTTTATTTTTTCGGGAAACTATATAGAGGCACCGAACCAGCGAAAAAAATGTTTTATTGCTTGCGTTTATGTATGCACATACATACGAGGTGTTTCCAAAAAGTATCGTGAATTTTGCATTTTCCCGGGTTACTCGTATCGAATTTCGATTTTTTTGTGGCGTTATGTTGGTACTCATGTCTCTCACTTATTCCGACAAGTTCGGCCATTTTGAATGTTCACTTAATTGTTGACAGCTGCTTTGCTTGCACGTGTTTTGAATCGTCTCCAATCCACCTTCTTGTTGTCGCATCCATATTTCTTGTAGCGAGGGCCGCTATGACAGCATCGTGGGACGCATTGTCAAGGGCTCCCTCTATATCTAGAAAGGCGCAGATTCCTACTTCTTTGTTGTCTACTGCCCCTTCAAGAGTGTGACAAAGTTGGTACAGTGCTGTGTCTGTTGAACGACCTGCCCTGTATGGGTGCTGCGTGGATTGCAGCGGACAGTCTTTGAGAACTGTTCTCCTAATATGGTAGTCTACCAGTTTTTCCAATGTTTTAAGATAAAACGAAGTTAAACTGATAGGTCTGAAGGACTTGGGGTTGGTGATGTCTTTCTTCCCTACATTGGGGATGAAGACCACCCTAGATCTACGCCACGCATTTGGGATGTGTCCAATTGCTAGGCTACTCAACATTAGTTTCCTCAATCGGGTTAGGAGTAAGTTTAATCCCTGCTGCAGAAATGATGGTGAGATACCATGCGAACCTGGTAACTTAAATGGTTAAAAGGTCCCAATTGCCCATTTGAGTCTCTCCAGAGAGACTAAAGACTTGGTCTGAGGTGTCTCGGAGTGGACAAAGAGTAAAGCTAGTTTATCCCTATCGTCGGAAGTGTATGTGTTATTCCATTTCCTCAGGGCTAGGTTTCTTTCTGGTGCAGCTTTGGCCATAGCCTTGTGCAATCTTGCCCCTTCATGGGCTGTGCTGATTGCCTCACAGAAGTCTCTATAGTTAGAAAGCATTGAGCCAGCCCTCAATTTATAATACGTTGCTCCCGCAACTGGAGCAGAAAGAGTTATGTCCGTTGACATGTTGATTTATTTTGATTTTATTTTTGGGAGGGCATGACCTTCCTGATCTCTTTGTTGTAGAGTGTCAGGCTTTACTTATATTGTTCCCAGTTTTCCTTGCTCGTTTTTGCTCTGTTGAAGAGCCGGCGGGTGGAGATACGGAGCCGTTCCAGATTGGCGTTCCACCATGGGGCGTCTCTTTTTGCTTTCCGTCTGCCAAGAGGGCAACTGTCCTCGAAAGCACTGGCTAACCTTCTCGCAGAGGTTACCCACAGCCTGATCTAATTCTAAAGAATGTCTGGGTATACCTGACGGTTCATTAGAGAGATTGTCCCTAGCGGTGTTGAAGTCTAATTAAAATCTAATGATTTGGTGATCCGACATTAATTCCTCTGGCGACACATGCCAGTTTTTAGTAAGTGCTCCTAGAGACCTGCTCATCAGAGTTATGTCTAGGACCTCCTCTCTTACTCTAGTAATGAATGTCGGTGTGGACCCGACATTGACGTCGGTGTTTCCCCATATCACGTGATATGCATTAGTGTCACATCCTATGATCAGGAGCATCTTCTTCTTCCTGCAGCACTCCACGAGTCCGATGATTTCCGGTGGTGGGCATGCTGCATTCCCAGCAAAATACGCCAACGCTATGGCTATCGCTGGTTTCGTGCCTGTGCCGCTCAGCGTTACCGCAACACAGTTACTGCTTAGAAACTCTGAAAAGATATTATAATTGATGTCTTTTCTTATTAATATGCATGCTCTTGGGTGTACACCCAATTGGTTGCATATTACCTTTGATTCCTTGATGTGCCAGGCCTTTAATGCCCTGGTTACACCAAGGCTGTTGTATGAGAGCTAGCCCGAGATGTTGAGTGGTGAACAGCCTGGCCAGGACGGCCTTGGCTCGGTATAGGTTCACCTGGGCTAGCTTTGTGCTACTGTATGCAGTCATCATTGGAGCGGATGCTCCAAAGTTGGTGAAGGGGGCGGGAATTACCCTTTACTGCCTTCCGTCAGAGTGACGTCGGCCTCCATCTCGCTGCTGGCGTCCAGGAGAGGCTCCTGGGAGGGCATGGGATGCTCCTCATCCTCACTCCTCCCCTCCATGTCCGTGATGGAGCCCTTCTCTGAGCCCATAGGCTCATGCTGCTCGTCAAGGGAATCTTTGACCTCCACCTTGGGAAACCACTTTCTAGGCATCCGTCTCCAACCTGTTCTGTCTCAGCATCCTCATTGCTTCTCTCCGCGCTTCTAGGGCAGAAGACCGTGACATTGAATGCCGGGATATCCTCTCTTACCCCAGTTCCTAGGGGCACGCCCTTCCACGTTCTTAGCTGGGGCACAACAGCCCTCAGCCAGTCCGCTGAGTCTTGGTCCAGGCAGTCGATAAGGAGGTATCCGACCCTCTGAATGCGACTACCGTGTCCCATGCCGATGGGATCACGTCGTCCATGATGGCCTCCTCCAACTCGGACAGCTCTTCGTGGCTCAAGTACACCTGTGGGTAGTCCTCAGGTAGTACCGCCACTCTGACTCTTCTGCCGGCCTCGGCATAGTAGGTGTGTGTGCCAGTGAGAGCGGCTGTGGAGATAGAGGGTGGCTGCAGATCACACTCCTTTCACCCGCCTTCGGCACGCTGAGTATGGCAGCAGATGCCGCCGCCTTCGACGTGCAAGGCTCATCAGGCCTTGACCTTGGACCCCAGCAGACCTCTCCTGTTGGGGTCGTCTAGGCCTCCTGGGTGTCCTCTGGCTGGGAGGCCGTCCTCCTTCATGGCAGGCCTGGTCTTCTGTCCAGCCACGGGGATGACCGGGATGGTCCTGTTTGTCGCGCACGTTCCCAGACTGGGAAAGTTGACCATTGTGGAGTCTGTCCCACATTCTCCGTCCGTGACGCACACCTGATGGCGGTGGGTACGCTCTTGGGTGGGGCTGGACCCACCTGGGGTCGTTCTCCGTCGAGTTGATTTTCGAAGTGCCTTGCGACACTCGAGGCAGGGATATCCTGCGGTAGTTTATTGTAGTTGCTCTTCTTCATATTGAAATCCCATGAGTTGCGGAGAATGTAAGGTCCGTCCGGGTCCGCCATACTGGGGTAAGGCATAATTAGGTCAGGCGGTCGCCACTTGCGTGAACCCTCCGTGAGAGGCTAGGCTAGTTGATAATCCGAGCCCCCAGCCAGGCTGACTATCGGCACGGGTCGGATGACACCTTAGTTCGGCAACGGAGTGAGATTGTGGGGAGGGAAGTTGGTAGGTAATTGTGAGGGAAGAGGGGTGTGTGAGGCTATAATTTGAAGACGAACAGACAAGCGTCTTGTCAGTACACCGACTTCGGTGTACCCGCTGTTGTCCGGGGTTGCTTATTTGCTTGCGCCTATTCGCAACTAACCTTATAGAAGGCCGTTCGCTATCCGCAACCTGCAACCCGCCTGGTGGCCTCAGCTATGCCCCTCACTAGTTCTTAAGGAACAGGGCAGAAAGTACATACAAGTCGTAACATTTATTATTGCATAAAAATGTTTTGAAAGGTCAACAATATGGGAGCGAATCCTGAGGCGCAGCTTTGGGTAAAAACCAAAAATTATTGTCATGTGACAGTCCATTTTAAGCCCCATACACAGCATAGGTAAGGGTTAAACTACATACTAAGTTTCTGTTTTTTTCGCACTTACGAAAAAAAAAACACACTCTTTCACTCGCATTTATTGTAGTGCGCAATAGGGGACTGACGTCGGCGTAGAGACTTCCTTATTATTATCATACCATGAGTCAAGTAGCCTTCTCAGTTCTGTTTAGATAATACTTTTCAACATGAAATCAATTAGAAGGTAAATTAATTTACTTACTATATAACCCTTTAATGACTTTGTAGTGCAGAGAACTAGACCACTTAACTACAAAATATTTCTAATGATATGGCCTCAGCGAGACTATAATCCATGGCTTATCGTCACAATAGCCGCGGTTGCATCGACGAGCACATGTACTCGAAAAACCAATATTGCGGCGGGACACAGGAGTTTTGGCAGAGGCTGTGGAAGAAGCTTGGCGTAAGCTAATAAAAGGCAGGAGTCTCAGGTGTTGCCCGCAAGGCTGTTGCAGCAGCGTACACGTTTGTGCAAGAAGCACGAGATCAAGTAACGTAGGATTTCACGTCATGATTTTAACTGCAGGCTCTTACTAATTTTATCCATATAATAAAAAAACAGACTGAGTCAATTTGTTATGGCCAGCTGAAATTTAGAAACTTTCGCAATAGAAGAGCAGGATTGGAAACCCGGGGCAACCATGAAGGGCGGAACCTTCAGAAATACCCAGTGAGATCCCACGTTGCTGTAGTCACAGATCGTTTCCATGCAATTCTGCGTGTACTTTACACTTGGCCTACTGGTCTTCGTGGCCAGCAAGTTGTCCGGGGATAACTACAGCCTGGATCATTTGTTCGAGTACCATCAGATTCACATCTACGATTTGGGCGGCAGATTGGTGATCTGCGCATTTCTCCTCAATGCGTTCCCGGCTTCCCTGGCGCTGTGGTGCATCGTGAGACGGGCCAAGCTCTGCCTGGACTTTAGCTGCACCTTTCACGTCCTGCATTTGCTCATCTGCTGGTGGTACAACCGCTCCTTTTCCGCCAACGCATCGTGGTGGCTGCTCAACGTCATCACCGGCACGATAATGTGTATAGGCGGCGAGTTCCTTTGCCTGCAGACCGAAATGAAAGAGATTCCGGTGGGCTACGCAGCCCTCAACCAAAAAATCAGACGTCTGACTCGAACCATGAACTTGTGATTTCTGCTAGCTTAACCAAGCCACCCCTAAACCAGCTTCTTTGTACATGTAATTTATTGTTAAACTACCGTAAGATTACATAGCATATAAACTCTAAATTGTAAATCCTAAAAAAAAAAAAAAAAAAAAAAAAAATTGGCGTGGGTGTTAAAACGCGCATCACTTGAAAACGGCTGAACCGATTTCGGGCTTTTTTTTTATTATCTTCGTCAACCACCAAGAAAGGTTTTTATGCAAAATAAAATCAGAAAAATTATTTGCAAAAGGGGGTTATTTTGCGAAAAATGGTTGATTGTTAAATGACGTCATAGTGAATGACGTCATAGTGAATGACGTCGGAGAATGATTTGTTGATGATTTTCCTCGCTCTCACTTACTGATATTGGATAAACGGATATCTAATCTTTTCTAAGGAAAGTTTTTATTAAAAATAAAAAATTAAAAAAAATTTGATGACGTCAATGCCCTGCCTCTGAGTGCATCTTGCAAAATATAGAACTTTGGGTTTGTTAAAGATCCAAGTGCCGGCGTAGTGAGGGATTAATGATTCAAATGTAGTTTACAGTTTAGTGAATGCAAAATGTCATGAAGAGCTGACCAGTCCGCTGAGCTGAAAGAGATTGGTCGGACAGTTCCTAACTTTTCGTGTGGTAATGGGGTTGATGTTATTGTTCGGGGGGCTTTAAGTATACAAAGCAAAACTTTGTTTCTTATTGTTTGCATAGGGGACCGTCCATTAACCTCGTGACGCTATTTTTTGGCTATTGATTTAATTTAAAACAATTTTTGCCCGTTTCGCTTCCGCCTAGAGTCCTAAGGCCGCGGCCTGTAGCTATGTTATCAAAAAAATTTGTATATATGTAATACTAGCTGTTTTTTTTTTTTAAATAGTTTTACCTTTTGTTCGGAGCAGAACCCCTAGTTTATAAATTCTACCCTAAATTCAAATGTCCAACTGCTAATGTAAAGTAACGTAACGTAAACGTAAAGTTGTTTACCAACACCCGCATAATTGCAATCGCGCCTAACTTTGCTTATCTTGTTTTATCTATCTTCTTTATCATCTCATTCTTTGCGCAACTCTTAACCGATTTACATAACTTTCGTTCGATCTCGCAAACCCTCGCAAGCAAGTTGTCGGTCGCGATCTTGTATACGCAAAAACATAAACGTTGTAAACAAATATAAAACAAATAACACTCAGAGACACAAATATAAAACCACATCTCATTTAAATCACAAACATTGGCATTTTTTTGGAAGTGCACAAAGCGGTAGCAACAAATTAGTTGCATTCCTCTGAACACCTTTTATTTATATTTTTTTATTTGTAAGAGTTTTTGTAAGTCATTGTATATTTTACATTTCTGTATTTACAATTTTGATTCTATTGGTTGTTTCTTACTTTTATATTACAGAACTTTTACCTTAAAGCTTCACTATACACTTTTTTGGCTGTGGATTTGGTTGTGATAACAAAACATATTAATACTGTAGTACATTTTTGTATGTTCATTATTTGCGGGAAGTAAGGAACCAATCCTGTGATACACCTGTCCTTGGATGGTAAAAGTAGTTGAAAATCCAGGCATTACGACCTCCTTATCTACACCAAATGACGTCATCTGAAAGCAAGAATTTTACTTTCTAGTCCTGCTTAAAAGCCGCCGCGATTCGTTACTGTCGTATAAAAGTAAAGATTTAAGAGGTTCCTTTGGCTCGCCAAGTAATGGAATTTTAACCTTTCCACCAGAACAGCACATACCTGGAGGTTCTTCTTTCCATTTCAGTGCTTCAAAATATCTGAATTTTTTATCCATTCTCCCAATGATATCCAATCGGTGATTAACATAGTCGATCAAAGGGCCATACTCAAAAGAAGGCACCATTAAATGCCTCCCACGTTCTCATTGAAAACGTACGTCTTCTTTCTGCCTGCCGTTCAGCATTTAAAAGACGTCGTCTTTGTGAATCTTCGTAAGACTCTGCCGCAATCAATTGCGCGTGACGTTCGGCATCTGAAACTGAGTCTGTTCCACTGTCTCAGCAGCTCGTTGAGATGCGTGGCGTTCAGCCTCCATGGTCTGAAGGGTCCGAGTCTGCGTATAGGTCTCAGAAGCTCATTGAGTCGCATGACGCTGAGAATCTAACATCTGACGCGTCTGAGACGCGCCACGGGCGCTATGACACTGGGCGTTATGACATGCACCCGTTTTAAAAACTACAACGTAAGACTGGAAATGATAAAAGAAAACCACAAAAATTGAGTTAAAGTGCTATGGTAGCGTGTGTTTGTCACTGTGTTGGGGTAGTAAATCACTTTATATGCGATTTTTGGTATGTCAAACGGAATAAAAAGTATCCTATGTCCTTTTCCTGGCTCTAAGCTACCTCCCTACCAATTTTCAGCCAAATCTGTTCAGCCGTTTAGGCGTGAAAAAGTAGCAGACAGACAGAAACATTTTCGCATTTATAATATTAGTATGGATATTAGTATGGATTTTATAACAAGGGCTATAAGTATCTGACTTTTGTGAAACACTTAGCTTACGTCGGTAGGGAAAACAAACATTTTTTAAATGTTATACCCTTGCAGAGGGTATTATAAATTAAGTCAGAAGTTTGCAACGCAGTGAAGGAGACATCGCAGACCACACTAAGTATATACATATATTCTTGATCAGCACTACGATCTGAATCGTAATGAGTCTGTACGTCCGTCTGTCAGTTTCGCAGTTCCACTGTCAGTGACAACAGACATGTTTTTATATCGCTCCGCCGTGTAACAAAAATTACATCGTAAACAGCCAAATTCCATTTCGCGAAAAGACGCTTAGGTTACGCATGGTTACAAGTGCTCATTTTGCCTATGAAATTTATCAAGTAGAGTTCAAATTACCAAAAATAAACAATAATACAGCTGGTCATAAACAAAGCCAACGTTTACGAGCACCAGCTCCACCAGAGCTATAATTAGCAAGGCTCGGCAACAACAACAAGACGAACGTTGGCGCTCGTCAATTAGAAACAGGGGGTCGGTCATCCAGGAGGTAGAGCGAAAGGCCCGGGCTCGAATCCCAGGCTCCCCGAGAAAAAAAACGGTCTCTTTTTCCAAATCTCCACCACTTCTGTGCTCTGTCGCTCACTTAGAAATAGTAACAATTTTCGACTCCCCGGACCCGCACACCCCCTCGTCCACGTTACTATGGACACAACTTTCGTCACTCCTAGATGGCGCCAGGTGGCAGCCCCACCGCTAGGATAAGTCGCTACTGGCTAATCACCAGTACGATCGAAAACCAAAGATTAATGAAAACTCTAAAAAAAAATTGTAGAGGCTCTATGCTCCCAGGTGAAGTAAAAGAATGTAATTACTTCTCCATAAGAGCGGAAGAGTTAGAATCGACATCATGCAAAATTGCAAGTGAGTTCGAGGAGAGCACGCTCGCTCTCTCCCGCCTTATTATGACCAAGCGTCGCATCCCAAAAACATCCGTGGAGTGCCCAATGCCCGTCCCCCGACCCCTACAACATATCCAACGATTTGCTCATAACAACAACGACTAGCACAATGCCATCGTTTAAGACGGTGAGATCGACACTAACGACAACCACATCAACTGCAGTTTCTGTTTCGTCAGTTCTTACTCTTACAAGCTAGCCAATACCCAACCCAAAAATACCATAAATGTTAACGGACTGTTAATTCAAACAGGAATCGATCGGTACGTGAAAGTTAAAAGGAAACTAAGCCCACAAGTAGCTAAGAAAACAAATAAATCAAAAGTTACCACGAAAGTTGAAGCCACTGTACCAAGCAATGTGCTAACACGAAATCGATTTTCTATTCTGAGTTATCTAAAAGAAGATAACAATACCACTCAAACACCTAAGGCCAAGCAACTAAGGCCACAGCCAATTTGTGGACGTCAGGCAAATTGTTCTGAACTGGTCAAAAAAATAACTGATCGAATTGGAGCAAACAAATTCTATGTTAAATCCTTAAAATGGGGTAGCATAAACGAAACAAAAATACAAGTGGACAACGAACAAGACTATCGATCTGTGGCCAAATACCTCGACAACGGAAAAATAAGTTACTACATCTACCAACTTAAAAATTGCAAAGGACTACATGTAGTTATTAAAGGAATCGAAGCGACAGTCTCGGTATGTGAGATTATAGCTAGACTTAAAAAAAGGCTAGAAATATATTAAATAAAAACAAAATTCCGCAGCCAATGATCAAGGCAGAGTCATATGTCGAACGAAATATATAAAGGCTAAACAGAATCGAAGCTATGACGATTTTTCTATTAAATTTCCATATTTTCCACTGTTGTCCATATGACTGCTATATGATAAAGTCGTCCGATTTTAATGAAATTTAATTCGATATTCAAAAGTCGTTAGAAAACTCTGTATTCCAAAAATCATGCTTGTCTGATAAAAAACAACGATGTAATCATTTTCTTTCCGTTATTTCCATATTTTTCTATCTTTCCTATGGCAGCCCTATGATAACGATGTCCGATTGTAAAGAAATTTTTTCTCGTTTCAAGGGTTATTAAAAAGCTCTGAAAAACAATATGATTTTAAATTGCAGAATAATACGCGATACTTGTGATGCAGTGGTTATATTTCTTTTGCGAATTAAGATCGAAAGCGGAAAACGAAAGCGGAAAACGAAAATCATGCTCGACGGACTAAAAACAACGACGTTATAATTTTTTTTTCCATTATTTCTATATATTTTTTCGATCTTTCCTTTGGCAGCTATATGATAGAGATATCCGATTTTGATAAAAAAAATAATACGAATTTAGTAGTTAGAAAACGCCATTAGTCGTTAGAAAACGCCATCTCGAAGAAATCAAGACGATCTGATCAAAAACAACGGAACGAGAATTTTTTATTTCATTCTCTCGTACGGGAGCTATCCGATATGGTCGGCCGATCCGGCCCGTTCTGACAGAGGTGTCTCCTTCACTGCATTGCAA